ACAACTCGTGCAATTCTTATATTCTCATGAAGTGTTCTTAGGTCTTTGGGCACAACCTATGGGCCTTGACCTCATTCTCTCCATTTCTTCAGATAAGGGAGAGAGAAGGTTTAGCTCTTTGTTAGAAATTATAAAACAGTGAAAGTAAGTAAGACAGTAAGCTCGAACATTAGAATCAACACCTCATTGTTAAATGCTGAACTCAAAGGGAGATGTCACCTGCTGACAAATTTCCCCTGATCATAATCTGGGGATTTCTATCCTGAGCCAAAATAGGGAGTTTAGGAGAGATCTCCTCTTTCAATTGCTAAAGCTACAACTGCTGTCCCTATTTGAATAATTGTGTGTGTTTTAGTCAGCTTTTTCATTGGTGGGACTAAAAGACCTGACAAGAACCATGTAGATGAAGAAAAGTTTATGTTGGCTCACAATTTCAGAGGTCTTAGTCCATAGACAGCTGACTCCATATCTGGGCTCAAGAAGAGGCAGCACGTCATGTCAGAAGGGCATGGCTGAGGAAAGCAGTTTAGGACATGGCGACAAGAAACAGAGCTCTGCTCACCGTGAACAAAATATAAACCCCAAAGGCACAACCCCAGTGACCAACTTCCTCCAGTCATACCCTACCTGCCTACAATTGCTGCTAAATTAATATGTATCAGTAGATCAGTTCTCTGATCAGGTTATACCTCTCATAATCTAATTTCACCTCTGGAAATTCTTGCATTTCTCACACATGATCTTTTGGGGGACACGTTATCTAAATCATAACAATGTGTAAATTGCAAGGTGATTCTTTCTCCCCATTTTCCTCTATCAACTTAAGAGCTTTTATTCATCAATTGCATGAAAGGTATCACATAAAATAATCTCAATTTTTTTTACAGTATTGGGGATTGAACCTAGATCTTCATTCCTGCCAGGCAAGCATTCTACCACTGAGCTATATCCCTAGCCCAAAGTAATGTGATGCTAATAAGTAGCTATTTTCCTGTTGTTCTGTGTCTCTTTCCTGCCTTAAAAGGAAAGTCACTTTGAAATGATCAAGCCAGTCTTTGTTATTTGTTTCTACTTCCTTTTTTAAAATTTATTTTTTCCACTATTGGCTATCAAGCTAAGGGCCTCATACAACCAGTGCTTTACCATTGAGCTACATCCCCAGCCCTGTGTTTTTAAACTAAATAGTTTCCAACCATAGCTTTTAAAGAGAAAATGTTAGATACTTTGTCACAGCAACAACTCTTAGCGTTTTGATTTCTGAAAATATGTAGTAAAGTTGTTTTACTTTCCTATTTTTCCCACTTTGATGCTCATCTTATTCAGAGTAGTCTATCTGCTGTATTCATTCTTATTCACACAAGAATATGTGCACAGACATTGCATACACACAGACATATAGAAACACACACACAGTCACTCATTTCCCAAGTAATCCCTGGGAGCAACATCTAGAAAAAGCATCCCGCTGGCCAAACATGTTGTTAATAACAAGTTTATGCTACTTCAACCATGTAATTTCAGATTCTATCATTTTTATCCAGGTATTTATGAATCATTATTTTAGGAATAAAGCTCAAGTAATCATTCTAATTTCAGAACCTATTACCACAATGAGCTATTCACATTGCAACACAGTGACTAAACGCAAACTACGTACTTAGGAAGATTTTTCTTTGGCAGTTGGTCATGTTCCCTATGGCTTATTTCTGCTCCTCTTGCAAACCTTTTCACCTTGTTGAAAGAAAGAGAAAAAAGCATGCGTGCGTGCGCGCGCGCGCGCACACACACACACACACACACACACACACACTTCAAGGGTTTTTGGCTTTCATGTGGTAGATAATCTTAGCTCCTGCAGCTTCTGATGCACCAGAACTATCAGATAAGCAAAGGGCTCTACTGTGCTTTTATTTACTTTTTTAAAAAGATGTTTTCCCATTTCATTCCAATGTCAATGAGTCATGACAGTTCAGGGATACAGTTCATAAACTGTTCAGTTTCTCTAGTGATCTGAAACCTCACTGGAACATCATATTAAAAGAAAGACTTAGTGTCCTTGCAGTTTATAAAAATTACAGTTTTAGGTATAAATACTAATTGTAAAGAAATATGTTGCAGGGCTGGAGTTGTGGCTCAATGGTGGAGCACTTACCAAGCATGTATGAGGCACTGGATATTTTCAAAACCACATATAAATAAATAAAATAAACATCCATCAACAACTAAAAAAAATTAACAAAAAGAAATATGTTGCATGTTAAGGCAGAAAAGAAAGGACTTGCATACATTTGGGACCATAGCTTAGGAACATTATATTTTTAAATATATAATTTTATATATAAATTATATATATTTTAATATATATTTTATATATAAAATTATATATATAAAATTGAGAATCATGAGGCCTGCCCATAGTTCAAAAATAGTCATTTCACATTGGCAGAGATGAAGTAATTGGCTGCCAGGGATGTTAGAGATGGGCTTCCTCCTTTGGATGGTAGGCTGGGCAACCAAATGGCCTGTGAGGCTCTCTTTCTTATGGTGTTAACTCAGAATGAGCTTGAGGAGTTGCTAGATTCTTAGACTCCTTTTCAGATTACTGATTCAGGATCTTTAGTGTAGGGCTTGGCAATGTGCATTTTAATAACCTCTCTGGGTAAATTTGATGCAAACTGAAATTTGAGAATCTCTGTTCTAAGAAAACGATTTCTGGACTGGAAGTGAAGAAACCTGGTTTCTGGTTCTATTGCTTCTATAACTTCACTTGGTAACCCTGATCAAATCATTTGTCATCTCTTAGCATCATTTACCTCTCTCTAAAATGAGTGGTTTGAACTAGATAATCTCTATGGTCTCCACCAACTCTAAAATTTTTATGAAATCTATAGTATAAACTATCATATCAATCTATGGAATAGCCTTGATTTCATTAGCCACAAGATCCTTTATTTTACATGTCTGTAAAAAAGCATCCATAATTTATGTGAATCCTTGGAATACAGAAATAAGACCCAGCCATTTCCAATTCCATAAGCAAACCAGTCAATAATGTGTAGTAGGACCTGGATGAAGTTAAAGTCCCACACTTCCCATCTCAATCATTGCAGTAAAACGTAGTTAATGCCAATAAAATACTGCCAAGTGATCTAAATTGGTTAACCCCATTACCCTTGATCTCTATAAACAAAGGTTGCCTAAGATAAAAAAACATCATGATAACACTTCACAAAGGATAGACTATGGAGCAAGAAGCATTCATTCATTGAAGATGAGAACATAAATCAAATATAACTTTTCTCATTAGCAACTTGGCAATATCTACTAGAAGGCATACCTTTTGGCCTGGCAATTTTACTTTAGGGAGTTGATCCTACACATATTTTTTGTGCATGTGCTAACCAATATACATACACATTATTTATTGAAGCATTGTTTCTATTAGAAAAAGAAGAGGAAAAAAAACAAAAGTTCCATCAGACAGTCTGGTTCAATAAGTTATAGTAAATTCATGCAATGGAATCTCTTGAAGTCTTTTAAAAGGAATTGAGAAAGCTCACTCCAAATTATATAAAGTGAAATAATCTACAACTCTAAGTGAAAAACAAGTGTGGTACAGAATAGTATATAGAATACTGTATAGAATACTACTAATATCAAATAGTATATAGACTAGTGTGTAGAATTCTACTATTTGTATGGAAAACACACTAGTGATTTTTGTTTTTAAAAAACTTCAGAAGGATACATAATAAATTATTGTTTCCAGGGAAAGGAACCGGGCAGATGAGGGACAGGGATAAAAAGGAGACTTCATTGTAAACTTCCCTAACTTCAAATTTTGAACCTTATGAATGTATTACTTTTCAAAAACAACACAAAGAAAAATTTTAAATACCATAAAAATTTCATGTTTATTGTATGAATACATTTATAAGCATATAAAAATGAGAAGATCTGGAATGATATATACCCAACACCAAAGAGACGTTATGCCTTAAGATGAGGAGAGTGGAAGTTAGATGTATGTGTGGGGTGAACATTAATTTTTTACTTTATATTCTTGAATGTTAAAATGAGATTTCATAATTACTAAAGTCAAGCAGATATAAATGTACTGTGGGGCAGGAAGCATGGGCCAGAGAATAAGGCATTTTTCAATTTAGCCATAAATGTATGAGAGGTTCAGCCCTGTTACCTTTATCTTGAGTCACATCATTCCCTTGAGTCTTTCTGATGGATTGAAGTAATAATACCAAGCCATTCAAGGACTCACAATGAAACAAAAACTGACCTTCAGTTTTATAACCACTTTGGTGGAGAATACCAAAATTCCCCATGTTAGAAGAGCTATCTAAGAGGCAAAGGTTATGAAAAAGAAGGCAGTAGAGAGGCACTTGTACAACTGTTTTAGAGGTACATCAAAAGTGTGTAATGTTTTGGGCTACTGAAAAGAGCTTGAGACCTAGAGTCAGAAGTCCTATGTCTAATACTTGGCTATTAACACTATGCCATTTTATACACTACGTGTGTGACTTTGGTTAATCAACTACCCATGATAATTAATTAACTACCCTATACTATTATTGCACAATGTTATTGAGAAAATAAAGTGAGATAATATGGAATATTATAATAATATGAGAGAATGTTATAATCTTTATATAGCTGTTACATTTCATTACTCGCAGTGTCAGAGATAATAATAATAAAAGTAGCTTTTCCTATATTGTCATAAAGGACAATTTCTGTTTTACTCACAGAATCACATGGAAACTTTTAGAGCATACAACTACCAGGAAGTCTCTGCTTCAAAATTTGGCATTATGACTTATTTCTGTCACTGCTTGGGAAAATGTTAGAAATGAATATTTCATAATAATACTAGAGATACTTGGCAATAGGAAAACAAGATAAAAATTTGTCATGGAAGTTTGTGTTTTTGAACTCTCAAAATGGATAAAAAGTTAACATAAGTCCTGATTTTTTTTTCATTTCAGTTATCTACCTCATACTCTACCATGCCATTTTTGTGTTCTTTGCGTGGACCTACTGGAAGTCCATCTTTACACTCCCACAGCAACCTAACCAGAAGGTAAGAATATTGGTCACTTCATACATGCTAAGAACAAAGGAAAGTAGAGATGCTAATAAAGCAAGAAGAGGACAAAAGTGGAGCAATTAAATTCCATTAAAAATAAAATCAGGGTAATCATTTTTTTAATGAGGTCTTGTTATGTTGCTCAGAGTGGCCTTGAACTCCTAGGCTTGAGTGATCCTCCTGCCTCTTCCTCCCAAGTCCCTTGGGTTTTGGTTGCACACCACCATGACTGGTTTAAGTTCATCTTAAAGAAGAACACTTAGTGATAAAGGTACATTAAAGGTAGGGTAGACTATTGAATGAGTTTGTAAAACCACTAGTCCTGGATATCTTAAGACTAGGAAACCACTACCTGTACTGTGATTTAATTAGAAAAAAAACAAGGACCTACTTCAATTCTGAGACCTCAACAAGTTCAGTTCTATAAAGCGTATTATTTTCATACCCAGCAAGACTCTGAAGAAAAATATAATTGTTTAATCAATCATTTTCAAGCTGTGTTCTCTTAAATCCACATGTTTCATGCAGTATTTGAAATTCATAAAGGAATTTGTGGTTATATCAGGCATTTATTATATGATAAATGCTACTAAGCATTTATTTAAGCTAAGTTAGATTCTGAAGTAGGAAAAAAAGCAATAGGAGAGATTTTACCAGTTTCCAAACACTAGGAAAAATGTGGATCCAAATTTTCTCCATTATGGATCAAAATGATACAAAAGGAAAAAAATTAAACACAGAGAAAGGCAGTGAAGCAGGAATTGAGGAATATGGGGGATATAATATAGAGAGAAAATAAAGAGCAAAATGGCAGAAATCCTTCCTAAAGAATAATTACTTGAAGCATAAGTGGATTAAACTTTTCCTGTAAAAAGCTGATTGGCAGAATGAATGTTAAAAAATCATGATCTATATTTAAGCTGTCCACAAAATTTAACTTTAGAAGCAAGCCATAAAAAGTTGAAAGAACAGAAAAATATATAAGCAAATAGTAATCAAAAGAGACCAAGGGTGGCTATTCTAATATCAGACAAAAGAGACTTTAAGTCAGACTTAACAAGAGACAAAGACATTCTATATTGAAAAAGGGATCACTTTATCAAAAATATGTGAAAGTTATCAATAAGAGAACCCCAAAGTATAAAAAGCAAAAGCTAACAGATTTAATGGAAAAAATATAAAGTCATACAATAATAGAGAATTCAACACCATATTTTCAATAGTGGATAAAAGAACTAGACAGAAGATCAATAAGGAGATGAAAGATTTGAACAACACTGTAAACCAGCTACATGTAACATACCCACTTCAAAACGGCAGAATACACATTCTTCCTAAGTGCATTTTCCAGTATAGACCACACATTAGGCCACAATAGAAATCTCAGTAAATTTACAAGACTGAACTCATATAAAGTATCTTCTCTGACTACAATGGAATTAAATTAGAATCAATAAGACAAGGAAAACTATAAATTCACATATATGTGGAAATTAAACACACTCTTCATCAATGGATCATGTAAGAAATCACAGGAAAATTAGAAAATTCATCAAGATTGTTTTATTCAGCTCTTTTTTGCTGCTGTGACCAAAAGACCTGACAAGAATAATTTTAAGGGAGGAAACATTTATTTTGGGGCTCATAGTTTCAGAGGTCACAGTCCATAGATGACTGACTCTATTCCTTGGGGCTTGAGGTAAGGTAGAACATCATGGCAGAAAAGTATGGTAGAGGAAAGTGGCTCAGGAGATGATCAAGAAGCAGAGAAAGTTCCTTTCACCAAGGACAAAATATATACCCCAGAGGCATGCCTCCAGGGACCCACCTCCTCCAGCCACACCCTGCCAGCCTACTGTTACCACTCAGTTAATCCTAATCAGGGGATTCATTCACTGATTGAGTTAAGGCTCTCATAACCCAATCATTTCTCCTCTAAACCTTCTTACATTGTCTCACACATGGGCTTTTAGGGTACACCTAATATCTAGACCATAACAAAGATGAATGAAAATTTTAAAAACCCCATGGGATTCAATAAAATTGTAAACACATTTAAAAAGGATAAGCATTTTAAATAGTCTAATTTTATATCTTAACCAGAAAATGAAGAGCAAAAACCAATGAGATGCTACCTCATAACCATTAGGATGCCTACTATCAACAATAACATATAAAAAATACAGGGTGGGGAATGGGGAATTAATTAATGAGTATAAAATTTTACTTTGGGTCATTAATAAAAGTTCTGGAGGTGGTCGTGATAGTGGCACAACAATGGGAATATACTTAATACCACTGAGCTGTATACCTAGAAATGGTTTCAATAGTTAAATTTTGTTATATATATTTTATTATAATAAAAATGGACCAGACCTAAATAGAAGACCTAAACCTACAAAATTCCTAGAATAAAACTTAGGGGTGGGGAACTGGAGTTGTGGCTTAGTGGTAGAACACTTCCCAAGCATGTGTGAGGCACTGGGTTCGATTCTCAGCACCACATATAAAAAATTAAGTAAATAAAATAAAGGTCCATCAACAACTAATAAAAATATTTTAAAAACTTAGGAGGAAATCTTCATAACCTTGGATTTGGCACCATTGCTTCTTAGATGTGACAACAGAAGCACAAACAACAAAAATAAATAAATACATTTGATATAACCAAAACTAAAACTTTTGAACATCAAGCAACACTATCAAAAAATGAAAAGATCACACAAAGAATGGTAGAAAATATTTGCAATTTATACATATGATGTATCAAGTGTTCATAACATATAAATAATTCTTAGAACTCAACAACAAAAGATAAACAACCTAATTTAAAACTGGAGAAGAGACTTGAACAGACATTTCTCCAAAGAATATATACAAATGTCTAATAAGCACATGAAAAATTATTTAATACCTTAGTTATTTAGAGAGATACAAATCAATACCATGATGAGATACTACCTCATAACCACTAGGAAGGTCAAAACTGAGTGAAAGAATAAATGAAAAATAACAAGAATTGGTGAAGATGTCAGGAAATCAGAATCCTCCTAAACTGATACTAGAGATATAAAATGGTAGTGCTAGTATAGCAAATAGCTGTCCAGTTCTTCATGAAGTTAAATGTAGAGTTACCATGTGACCTAGAAATTCCACTCCTAGATATATACTCAAAATATTTGAAAACAAGAGTTCAAATAAATACTTATGCTTAACTGTTCATTGTAGCACTAGTCACCATAGCTAAATGATGGAAACAACAGTCCGTCAACAGAAAAATGGATAAATTAAGTACAGTATGCCCATGTAAAGGAATATTATTCAGTCATAAAAAGAAATTCAGTACTGATATGTAGTATAACATGGATGAACCTTGAAAATATTATGCTAATTGAAAGACACAAGACACCAATGGCCACACAGTTTTGATCATATCTATATGAAATATCTAGAAAGGCAAACCCAGAGCTAAGGGTATAGCTCAGTTGGTAGAGTGCTTGCCTTGCATGCACAAGTCCCTGGTTTCAATTCCCAGTACTGCCCCCCACCCATAAAAAGGAAAATCCACGGAGACAGAAAGTAGATTTCTGGTTGGCAAGTCTGGAGATAGATGGGAATGGGCACTGCTTAATAAGGAAGGTATTTCCTTTTGGGGTGGTGAGAATGTTCTGGAACTAGATAATGATGATGGTTGCACAACATTGTAAATGTACTAAATATCGCTGAATTGTACACTGTAAATGCATCCTTTAAAATGAAATTTAAGTTATGTGAATTTAAGCTCAATAAAAATAATTTTTCCCTTCATATTTTTTATGAAGCCTGTAGGCCATCCACAGTCTCATCCAGCTTCTCCAAGACTGTCATCAGTGTCAACTGAAAAAAAACACTTGCAACCTGAATGGTTAGCAATTTTATAAGCCTAAACTGGGTGAGCTGTTCTAGTCAGTTTTTTTTCATTTTGTGGCCAAAGTACTTGACAGAAACTATTTTAGAGGAGGAAACGTTCATTTGGTGCTCATAGTTTCAGAGGTCTCAGTCTATAGATGGCCAACTCCATTGCACTGGGCCCAAAGTGAGGCAGAGCATCAAGGCAGAAGGCTGTGTTAGAAGAAAGCAGCTCAGAACATGGCACCAGAAAGCAGAGAGAGACTAAACTTGACTTATCAGGGACAAAATATATACCCCAAATGCACAGCCCCAATGACCCACCTCCTCCTATCTGCCTTCAGTTATCACCCAGTTAATAATTCCTATCAGGGGGTTAATTCATCAATTAGGTTAAGGCTCTCATAATTTCACCTCTAAATTTTCCTGCATTGTCTCACACATGAGCTTATGGGGGACACCTCATATCTAAATCATGACAGATAATGACAGGATTTAGTCAAGCACCACAAATGTCTAACATTTAAAACTACATCTTTTATCATTTTTAATTTGTTAAGAGAATGGAGAGTTCCCCAATATTAATTTCTCTAATACAACATATATCCCAGTCTATCATCATTTGTCCTACCCAAATGCATTCATTGGCTCATTGCATTCTGATACTCAACAAGGCTTGGTTAGTTCCTTGAAATAAGGCATCCATGCCTTACATTCTAAACCAAAGCTGACCTCTTGAATGACCACAAGTTATTTCTCGCATACAAATAGAAACAACCCTGTATTCACCTTTCAGGTATATGCAGTGTACCATAAGAAAGTTACATTTGTAAGAACATCTCAAAAACTAAAGTGCTGCCCCAAGGTGCTGCTTTTAATTATCAAAAGTAAAAAAAAGAATTTTTAAAGAACTCATACCTTTGTGTTGATCAAGATAATTGTTCTACTAAGAAATAAAATAACCAGATGTTTTTATATTCATTTACAACATTTAATCACTACTTTGTAACATAGATTTATAGCCTTTTGGTACAGTTCATTGCAGAATCCTTAGCGTCCTGGGCTAAATATTAAGTGCCTATAGTATACCACATTTATTGTAACATCCCAAAATGTTCCTACACATTTCCACATATATCGAAGAGGGTGCTTAATTCTCACTTTGCTTCAGAATGACATTATACCATAAAACATACCACTACATATGATTCTTAAAGTAGATTATTCCCTTTTATTCTAATTGGTTCATCTGTTCACTCATTGAAGGACATTTGAGTTGTTACCATTTTTTCTATTATGAACAAAACTGAACATCCCTGTACACATCTTTCGTATACGTATATGTGTTTACATATAAAACACACACGCATATACACATGTACACACACACTCATTTCTCTTGGTTATATAATTAAGAGTGGAATTGCTGAGTCATTATACACTATAGGCATATATTTAGCTTAAGTAGCCTAGCACTTGCCTAGCATGCACAAGGCCCTGGGTTTGATCTCCAGCACAGCAACAAAACAGTAATACAATAAAATTAAGGGGCTGAGGCTATGACTCAGTGGTAGCGCACTTGCCTGGTGTGAGTGAGGCACTGGGTTTGATTCTCAGTACTACAAGTAAATAAATAAAATAAAGGTCTATCCACAATTAAAAAACATTTTTAAAAAGATAAAATAAAGTTGCATAAGATACTATATTAGATACCAATTAGAAGGGTTAAAAGACTGATGTTTTAATATTTTTAAATGATCTAAAAATTAGACTTTAAGTAAGACTTTCAATTTCTTATTTTTATCCAGCATATCTGCAATGATCTTTTGAATTTACAGATGAAGAAAAAGTAAGAGTGTCTGATTTTCCAAATTGAGTTTATATTCAGGAGCAGCATTGAGGCTTAAACCCGTAAATTCCCTTTTTCACCTTTGTCTACCCTTTGGCCCAGACAAAAGAAAGCTTTCAGATCTGTATTACTTTGGGAAATTGTTAGCATATTGTTTGCAAGATTAGTGAAGTATCTTTGCATAATATGACAACAAGGTCTGTATCAAAAAACTTCTCAAATACATACTTGAAATACTCAAATTTCTACTACTTTAAGACTAGAATAGGCAGATAATGTCACAGTCTCATCCAGCTTCTCCAAGACTGTTATCAGTGTCACCTGAAAAAAACATTTGCAACCTAATAAGCATGGTTAACCTTCAACGGGTTCTAGGAAGCAATTTGTTACAAACCTGCTTTGCAACATCATATTATGGTATAATGGAGTGAACAATGTGCAAGTCTTGGAGTCTGATGAGCTGAGCTGAATGAGTTCAACCTTGGACAAGATACTTTATCTAAGTTTTACTGTATTTATACAACAGTACTACAAATCATAAAATTATGAAAATTGAGATAAAAGTCAGATAATATAACAGAGATAAGTATCCAGGTTATAAGCAAAATTGGTACCTGATCTTCAAGGATAGGTAACAGATATTTTCATTTACATAGTTATTGTTTTAAATCCTTTCTGCAAACATTGTAAAATAAAGTTTTGCCTATCACTTCTGCTTCCAGTTCCACTTGTCCTATACAGACAAGGAGCGCTATGAAAATGAAGAGAGACCTGAGGTCCAGAAGCAAATGCTTATTGATATGGCCAAGAAGCTACCAGTTTACACAAGAACCGGGAGTGGAGGTCAGTGTATTCAATGTCAGCAAGAGAGGAAGTTCAGCAAAGATCTCAGAAACATTAAGTGATGTATGTTGTCAACCTAGCCCATTGTCTCTTTCATCTTCTGAAAGCCACTATGGAATTTTTTCTCAACATTTTATTATAAAAGTTTTAAAACACATATCAAAGTTGGGAGAATTGTAAACACCTGCAACACCAAAATTATAATCTACCACTAACATTTTACTATATTGCTTATATTGCATATGTAAGGACATATCTGTCCATATATCCATTCCTTTAGCATCTTCCACCAAACCATCTTATTTTCTGATACATTTCAAAGTAAATACCATGCATCAATACACACCCACCTAAATAATTTAACATTATTTTTTAGCAAAATTAGCATACAAAACATGTAAAAATCTTAAGTGTACAATTCATTTTTTCTTGAAAAGTAAACACAACCGTACAACTAAAACCCCTATCAACATTACCACCACCCCAGAAAGTTGTCATTGCCCCTTCCCAGTCAATCCCTGACCCACAGACAACCACTATTCTGATAGTTTTCTACTATAGATTAGTTTCTTCTGCTCTAGAATTTTATAAATTGGAATCATATAGTATGTACAATTGTGTTTGGCTTCTTTTATTCAGCATATTTTTTAGATTCATTCATATTTTGCATACTTTATTCCTTTTATTTACATTGTATATCATAGTTTAACCATTCACTGATTGATACACATCTGGGTTGTTTCCAGTACTTAACTAGTATGGGTCAAGTATCTGTGCAAAGAGATATTTTCATTTTATTTGGGTAAATATTCTCTATGGAATTATACTCTTAGATTTTATTGGTATGACTAGAACAGTACTTGTTGAACCAGTTCTCCACCTTTAAAATTTTGAATACAAGACTTCTCTGGCCAAACCATTCTAATATTTCTAATATGGGAGATTATGTTTCAAGCCTTAGAAAAGTATACTGTAAGGCAATTATGTTCATTCCCTCATCTTTTATTTATTCAACAAATGTTTACTAAGACACCGTATGACAATTGGGGAAATTTTAATTTGGTCTGCATACTAAGGACTTAAGATAACATTAAGGACTTATTGTTAATTTTGTTAGAGTAGTAATTCAATGGTTATGATTTTTTAAAGTCTTAATGCTTACTGAAATAGTTTTGGCTGGAAGTGACACAATGTCTAGTATTTACTTAAAATGCTCAAGTAAAAAGCCAGTGGAAGAAACATATTAAACAAAAATGGCATAAGGGTTGATAATTGTTGAAGTTGGATATGGTACCTGGGGTTTATTATTCTAGTGTTTCTACTTTTAGTGTATATTTGAAAACTTCCATAATACTAATTTTTAAAAAGTAACCAATGTGTATGACCACTATTCTAAACATTGGGAATACACAGCTGAACATAGAGTCACAAAGTTTCTTGTGGTGTTTAAATTCTAATGAAGAGAGAAACAGAAAATTATATAATTTTAGGCAGTAGCCAACAAAATAATATAATAGTGCAGAGGATACAAACTAGATGCATATGGGGTGAGTTGGGCTCAGAGATATAGTTTGTTTTATCTCTGTGTTTTTATTAACATAAAATAATTTTACATATTTATGAGATATAGTGTGATATTTGATACATGTATACAATGTGTAATATCAAATCAGGATAATTAGTATTTTTCTCTTTAAAGTTTGACATTTTATTGTGTTGGGAACCTTCGAACTCCTCTATTCCTAGCTCTTTTTAAAAAATTTTTTTAAATTTATTTTTTAGTTGTACTTGGACACAATACTTTTATTTTATTTATTTATTTATATGTTGTGCTAAGCATTGAACCCAGGGCCTTGCACATGCTAGGCGAGCGCTCTACTGCTGAGCCACAACCCCAGCCCCTCTCTTCTAGTTCTTTACAAATTAAATAATAAATTGTTTTCAGTATGATCACCCTACTATGTTGTAGAACATTAGAACTTATTTTTCCTTTGTAATTATATTTTGGTACCTATTATCTAACTTCCCTCTATATCCTTGCCTACTACTTTTCCTGGTTTCTATTGAGCACTTTTATATCCTCTACTATAAAATCAACTTTTTAAAAAATATTTTTTTAGTTTTAAGTGGGCACAATATCATTATTCTACATTTATGTGGTGCTGAGGATCAAACTAAGTGCCTCAAGCATGCTATGCGAGCACTCTACCACTGAGCCACAACCCCAGCCCATAAAATCAACTTTTGAAATTTGAGCATATAAGAACATGTAGTATTTGTCTTTCTGTGTCTAACATATTTCACTGGACATAATGACCTCTACTTCTATCTGTGTTGCTACAAATAACAAGAGTTCATTTTTTGTGGCTAAATAATATCCCATTATGTATACCAACCACATTTTCTTTGTCTATCTAAAGTGACTTTTAAAACTTTGCATTTGTTGCTAGTTTTTAATGATTAGAATATTTCTACTTAAAAATCCAGGTTTCTGGCTTCTCTTGAAACTAACACAGTATGGCAATAATTTGCCTTCCAACATGGCAAAAATTAGCTGGATCTGAGTAGTGGCAGTCCTCTTAAGAAAGAACATGAATTCTCAGATTCTGCACAATCCCCAACAGGCTGCTTCATTTACTACTCAAAATTCCCTAGATCCTTAAGGCATTTGTTTGTAGTCCCTATGGTAGAGTAATAGGAAAAGATTTTCTGAAGAAGTGCTATTTGAGCTGAGAGCTGAATGATAAAAAGGAACTAACCATGTGTATCTGTCAGAGTTCTCCAGAAAAGCAGAATCAGTAAAATGTGTGGTGAGTATATTTGTGTATGTATATGTGTGAAATTGGCTTGTACAATCATAGAAGCCGAGAAGCCCTGAGGTCTGCCATCTGAAAGCAGAAGAACCAGGAGTGCTGATATTCCAATCGGGGTCAGGAAAAATGATGACCCATCTCATGCAGTCAGGCAGAGAGAAAGCAAATTCTCCCTTCCTCTATATATTTATTCTATTCTTGTCCATAAGGAATTGGATAAGCCCCACCCACATTTGGGATGACAATCTAGTTAGTCTACTGATTCAAATGTTAATCTTACCTAGAAATACTCTCACATAGATGCCCAGAAGTAATATTTAACCAAATATCTGAGTACCCCATGACTCAGTTGACACATAAAATGAATCATCACCTCTTACTAACTTGGCATACATACACATCTCCTTAAGCCATACTTAATCTCTAAATAAAAACAACAAGGGCTGTGGGTGTAGCTCAGTGGAGAGTGCTCACCTACCAGGCAGGTCAGCTCTAGTCTGGTTCTCAGCACCACAAAAGAAAAAAAACTAAGACAATAATTCTGCCCAACATGTTACAACTATCCTGTGTACAACCAAAAACAAACTAAACCCTTCCCTATAAGACGAGGTAAAAGTCCTTCAGTGGTGTTTACTTTTCTCCTTGTAACTTCAATATTATGATATAAAATTAACAATACTCAAATACTATGATGTCAAGTCAATACATTTTATGTTATATGATAAGCAAATACGGGAAGGAAGAAAGGAAAGATATTTGAGATACACACCGAGAGATAGTAACAAAATAAGGAAGGAATACTTATGACAATTATAGTCCTCATTTCTGTAACTGGTCACATGGTCATAGCTGGCATTAATAACTACTTTTTTCCACTAGCCATTTTGTACTCCCTTACCTTCAGCAAGTACCTCAGCTGATCATAGTTCTTCACCTGGTGGGATGACTCAAGCCTTCATTCCTGAGGAGTCTAGTCCATAAGTAGTCCTATCTAAATTAGGTTTGTTATCGTTTTCTATTCTTCTAATCACAGGACATAGGAGTACTAAGAAATGTCCTAAAGTAGCTTCTTCCTTAGCTCTATTGTGGAGTAGTAGTCTAATTTCTCCTAAGTAGTTAGGATCAATTTTCCTAGCGAATATTGCAGCTACCTTCTTGATTTAGAGACATGAGCGTCTCCAAATGAATAGGTGTCAGTCTTAACTTGCAGTTCAACAGAATCATTGTTATGTCTCCTGGTGGAAGCATTCCTCCCTTTTTACCTAAGACCTCTAGACTAGCAAAGTAAAAAGTCACAGGAACAAGAAATAAATATTTTGTTAGTGGGTAACACAGGGTAATCATGAATGGTACAGCTGGGCACAGTGGTGCACTCCTGTAATCCAAATGGCTTGGGAGGCTGAGGCAGGAGGACACAAGTTCAAAGACAGCCTCAGCAAAAGCGAGGCACTAAGCAACTCAGTGAGACCCTGTCTCTAAACAAAATACAAAATAGGGCTGGGGGTGGGGCTCAGTGGTCAAGTGTCCCTGAGTTCAATCCCTGGTCCCACCCCCCAAATAATAATGAATGGTGCCATTCCCATTTCCACCCTTAATTCCTGGATATGTGGATACTGTCTATCAGAAAAAAAAACAGTATCGTATATTGGATGTTTATTCAGATCATATGTAGCCTTTTGAATAACTTTGTCCTAGTCCCACAAAGTATTGCCACCTCATTGGCTCTGTAACTGACCCTTCAGAAGACCATTCCACTATTCTGTCAAACCAGCTACTTCAGAATAGTGATACACATGGTAAGACCAGTACATTTGATGAGCATGGACACATTGCTTTATTTGTCTTGCTGTGAAGTGAGTTCCTTGATCAACACCATTGCTGTGTGGAATACATGATAATGGACAAGGCACTCTGCAAGTTCACAGTGTTAGTTTTGGCAGAAATATTGCATGTAGAAAAACCAAATCTTTATCTAGACTTTCTATTCCAATAAAAACAAATGCTTTCCCATCTATGATTGAAGCATTCTAATATAATCAACCTGACACCAAGTACATTGCTGATAATCATGGGTAATGGTGTCATATTAGAGGTTCAATTTTGTTCTCTGCTGCTGGCAGATTGGACATTCAGCAGTGGCCAAAGCCAGGTTGGTTTTGGTGAATAAAAGGCCATGTTTCTGAACCCATGAATAATCTCCATCTCTGCCACCATAGCCATGTTGTCCATGAGACCATTGGGCATTAATGGGGTGATTGTGGAAAGAGACTGACTGGTATCCACAGAACAAGTCATCATATCTGTTTGGTTATTAAAATCCTTCTCTGTTGTGGTGCTATGATATAAATGATTGTGAGCCCCCACCCCTTCATACATTGAAAACTTAAATGTGGATGGTAATAGGAGGTGTAGCCTTGGGAAAGTGACAAGATCATGAGGGTGAAGCACTCACTAATGGGATTAATGCCCTAATAAAAAGGCCCAGAGAGCTGTCTTGCCCTTTCACCATGTGAATAAAGAGCAAGTTGGTGCTATCTGTGAAACGGGCCCTCCCTCACCAGTACTAAATCTGGATTTCTTGGCCTTCAGAACTTTGAGAAATAAATTTGTTGTTCAGAAAGTATTCAGGCTGTGGTATTTTGTTATAGCAGCAAGTTAAGACTGACACATGAAATCAACCTTTAGTGAGCATTCACATGAGACACAAACATCTTTATAATGTTTTTGCATTCAGAGAGGTCTGTTTACATAACTCTTTTCCAGATCTCCTTGTCACCAATTTTCAAGTTTTATTCTTTCCAAGTCTCCAATCATCCATCCAAACCAGTGGCAAAGGACCAAGAATTGATATATCCTCATGTGCCTGGCCATTTCTCCTTCCAAGCAAATAAAAGTGTACTGCTTAAAGTTCTGCCCACTGGAAGGATTTTTCTTCTCTATTGTCTTTCAGGTATATCCCAGAAAGGGATTGTAGTACTTTAGCTGTCTACTTTCAAGTAGTGTCTGCATATCATAGAACCCTCTGTGTGTCAGATATGAGCCTTCTCTTCCTCTGTCAGCTAATGGTAGGAAACTTCCCATGAGACCATGCAAGCTGGGAGATAGAAGGTCATATAGCAGGAATAGGGGCTACAGATATTTGGACTACTTCTTCATGTTACTTACGTATGCCTTCAGGGCCTACTCAGGCCTGGTCATATATATACCACTTTAGTTTGAATGTGGAGTATTGCTCTGCATACCCAACTTTACGGCTTGGTGAATCAGATAACACCCAGTTCATGATGAAAAACTCATGTCACATGGTAACTTGGTGACCCATGGGTAAGGATTTTATCTCTGCTAAGCCCCAGGAACAGGTCAAGAATATTTTTCAAAAAAAAGAATAGCTATCTGTGGAGAATGGTAGGGTTTTGCTCCAAAATACTAAGGGTCTGCACTAAAATTTCACCTATAGGGCTCTACCAAATGCTGTAAACAGCATCCCTATCTTTCATTGATACTTCAAGCACAATTTTATCTGCTGGATCATGTGGCCCAAGCAGCAAAGCATTTACACAGCAGCCTGGACCTGTTGTAGAGCCTGCTCTTATATCTGAGACCCACTCAAAATTAGCAGTTGTTCAGGTCACTCAGTAAATGGGCTAGAGTACCAAACCCGAATGAGGAATTTGTTATCTTCAAAATCCAAAAAGAAAGGCCTACTTGGCACTGTGCCTCTTCTTTTGTTGTAGGAGGGGCCAGATGCAACAACTTACCCTTCACCTTAGAAGGGGTATGTCAACATGCCACATATCATTATATACCCCCTAGAAATTTCACTGAGGTGAAATGTTCCTGAATTTTCATTGGATTTATTATCTCACCCAATGGATACAAATGTCTTACCAATAAGTATAGAATAGTTGCTACTTCTTGCTCATTGGGTCAGATCAGCATAATGTCATCAATGCAATGGACCAATGTGATATCTTGTGGAAGATAAAGGTGATCAAGATCCCAGCAAACTGAATTATAATATAGCACTGGGGAGTTGATATGCCCTCAGGGTAGGAAAGTAAAGATGCTTTGCCAGGCAGAAAGCAGACTGCCTCTAGTGGATCTAATAGACAGGGTTAGAGATAAAGGAACCTGCCCAATCAATAGCAGCACACCCGGTACCCTCAATCAATGAAGCCATATCTGACAATTAGGGTCTCCATATGGTTAAGGTTACAATAACTTATCATAATTCCTCACAATACATGTCTTCTGCATAGGCCAAATAGGTAAATTGAATGATATGTAGTAAGAGTAATCACCCAACATACTTCAAGTCCTTGATGATGGCACCAACCACTGCAATCCCTCCAGGAACACAGTATTACTTTGTCTTACCATTTTTCTAGGTAGAGGCAAGTCTACTGGCTGCTACTTGGCCTTTCCCTACCATGATAACCCTCACTATACAACTCAGAGAATCAATATGGGGATTCTGTCAGCTACTAAACATATCTACTCCAATTATACATTCTAGAAACTGGAGAAATATCCACAGGAGGCATTTGGGTACCACTGTGCCTGCTGTGAATCAGACCTGAGCTAAAATTTTGTTGGTCACCTGACCTCTGTAAGTTCCAACTCTGACTGGTGAACCACAATAACATTTTGGGTCTTATGGAGTTAGTGTCACTTCAAAGCCAGTGTCCAGTAGCCCTCTGGAATGATGCTTTTATTTCTTTTTCCCTAATGCACAGTTGCCTTGGTAAAAGGCCAAAAGTACCTTTGATGAAGAATAGTGGAAAGTTGAACAGTATAAAATTTTAGTAGTGTTGGTAATATTCTAGTGTCTTTCCTCACAGGAATACAATCTCTCCTTTATGCAAGGGCCTCTGAGTCTGTGAGCTGGCTCAAGCCATGACTACTTTTTTTAATGATTCAAATAAGACTTTTGTTCACTCAATCTAGAACATTTTTGCTTATATAGCTCAAGTAAGAATTTAGTAGGCTTTCTACCTATTTCACTTCTAGAAACACCATGATTCATTAGCCAAAGCCATAAATCTGCATGAGTTCAGACTATTCTAATTGCTATTTTGACTCTGATGACCATAACCATAGCTGCATCCACCTTGCTTTTTGTGGCTGAGTGCCACCACATGATCCAATTACTTCCATCACATTAGGTTTCCCAGTTTAGTGACTACAGCGAGAACTGACATAGAGACAAGAGCAGTCAAAAAGCTCTTCAAGGGCTGGGGTTGTAGCTCAGTTGGTGGAGCGGTTTGCCTAGCATGTGTGAGGCACTGGGTTTGATCCTCAGCACCACATAAATATAAATAAATAAATGAATAAACAAAGGTATTTAAAAAAAGCTCTTTAAGCATTCTTAGATTCCCCTCATAAATTTATTTCTCACAGTATTGGTAAATGGTATGTCTTATAGACCCTCTTAGTGTGAGTGAGTAGGTATTAAATGACAAATTCATCCTAACAGTCCAATTTCCTTAAATCTTTGAATCCCTACCTCTACATTAAAACAAGGAAGGTATGGCATTTCAAATTCATTTACTGTGTGCCATATTTTGTTCCATGTTTCAGCCAATCAACCAGCCAAACTCCTTGAGCTGCAACATTAATGCAAAATCTGCTCAGTGGGCCTGTATCAATACTTTTGTCTAGATCTAACTTTATATTCCTTCCACCATTATTTCAGATCTTCAGTATCTATTCCCACACATGTTCCCTAGATATCTATCTGTACAAATTACAAAATTCAAGTAATTCTTTTGTAGTCTATTATACCTCCTCATGGATCAGAACTATATCAGGAGAGATGATGGTAGATCAATCTATGGCATTGACAGTATCTTTAAAAATGTGCTAAAGGATCCAAACATGAAAGCCTCTCTCCTTTCATTCTTGACTTAATAATACCTCTATCTTTTGTCATATACTCTTTATCAATAGGAATGAACACAGGAATCTTTTGAATTATTGGCCTGTTGTGTTGAATCAGTTATATGTGCTTAATATACACTGTAAGTGGAATTATTATATTAGCTTAAATTATTTAGTTTTATACTTAATATAATTACATTATACACAGGCAAACTCTATCAGTGAACATGAAAAAAAAATTAGAAGAAAAGGAAAATAGCTTTAATCCAAGAGGATGGAATTAAAGAAAGGAGAAAGGGAGGAACAAATGGGCAGGAGGGATTTTTATATCAGACCTACAGGGCGAATAGAAACCTGAATGAAATAATCAGAAAAACTGTACAGGTAACAGCCCTGCCATTTACTTGCTATGTGGCCTTGAGCAAATCACTTGATAAGGACCAAGACTTTACTTTTTTTTATCTGTGAAATGGTCAATTGAAATTATTGAAAAATTCTCTTCTATTTTCCAAATTGTCTTGTTTTGTTTGCAGTGTTGGGGATTGAACCCAGGGTCTAGCATAAATTGTTATTCTAAGTTTACCATTTTGTAGTTTTATGCATTTATGAAATTTAGCCTCGTGAGACAGGAATTAAATTGTGAATCCTTATTTCCAGATAGGAGAGTTTCAATAAATAGAGACTAAATGATTTCTCCAGATCCCTCAAATAGTTGATAGTAGTTTGTTTGATAATATGAAATCTTATGGTCTGATATCTAAATATGAAGCCTTTTCCTGTATTCTCCTGAAAGGTGCTTTCAAGACTGACTTAATAAGAAAAGAAATACATAGCACAATTCTTCTATATGATTGACTTTTGCTTGGCAACTTGAGATGAGTGTGACCATCTGTGGGTAGTGTATAACAAGCCATCCCAGTAGACTAATAAGATATGAAGTCTTACAGTGAGCCCTAAGAAATGCTAACCGCCTTATTTTTCCTATAGCTGTACGATTCTGTGACCGGTGCCATCTGATCAAGCCAGACCGCTGCCATCACTGCTCTGTCTGTGCCATGTAAGTGACAGTAATATTCCCCCTGGGCTGAGCTTGGCTACTGATGGTTGCCTAGACAACAAAATGACTGATCCTAACATGCAACCATGCCTAGATAAGAGCATTTCCTTTCAGTCATAATGAGTACATGCCAAACACCCTCACAGGAATGATGATGATTCAAACTATTCTAAAGATAGAAAGAGAAATATAATCACATTTTAAAAATAATCTTTTTATTTTAGAACAGCTTTAGATTTATGGATTTATTATGAAGATAGTTCTCATATGCCCAACACCCACTTTCCTCTATTATTAAAACCTTCTATTAGTATGATATATTTGTTACAATTAGTGAACTAGTATTGCTACATTATTTTTAACTACAGGCTATCCTTTGTTTAGAGATCCTCAATTTTTCCCTAATGCCCTTTATCTGTTCTAAGATCCCATCCAGAATAACACATCATATTTTGTAGTTATGTCTCCTTAGCTCTTCTAAGCTGTGACAATTTCTCAGACTTTACTTGTTCTTGATGATCATGACAGTTTTCAGGATTAATGGTTAGGTATTTTGTAGAATGTTCCTCAGATGAGTTTTTTTTTTTTTTAATCTTTCCTCGTGATCCTTAGACTAGGGTAATGTGATTTGGGGAGGAAGACCATAGAAGTAAAGTGCCATTCTGATTACATCATAGCAAGGGTACAAATAAACATGACTTATCACAGCAATGCTAATCTTTATCATCTGCCTCAAGTAGTGTTTGTAAAATTACTCTCCACCCCCTCCCTCTACTGTACTCTTCAAAAAGAAGTTACTGTGCACAGCCCAACTACAGGAATGGGAAGTTATACTTCCTCTTCTTTTTTTCAATAACTTTATTTTATTTATTTATATTTATTTTATGTGGTGCTGAGAATCGAACCCAGGTCCTAATATGTGCTAGGTAAGCACTTTACCACTGAGCCACAACCTCAGCCCCTCCCACTTTTTGAAGATGGAGTGTCTGTATAAATTATTTTGGATTCTTCTGTATGGGAAGTGTGCATTTTCTCTCCCATTTACTTATTTAGTCAATCATTTATTTATCTCAATATGGAGGCATGAATATTCATTTTTCTATTTTGTGCTATGACCCAGTACTACTGTATTTATTTAATTTGTGGCTCAAATTGTTCCAGCTTTGGGCTTCTTTGAAAAGAAAACTCAGATGACTCTATATGTCATGTTCCTATTTCTACCTCAGGAGCCTTGGTAGGCTCTTGTGTGCCATACAATACAAGATTACAGGAAGTGTATTTATTGCATTAAACTACTCTGCTTCTTTTTTAATCAACAAAAATAAGTCCTAGCTTTGTAAAACCATTTTATGTTAATATATGTAATCTTCATGCCTTTCTTCTTGTATACCTTTTTAATTTTTTTTTAGTTGTAGATGGACACAATACCATTATTTTATTTGTTTTTACTTTTATGTGGTGCCAGGGATCGAATCCAGTACCTCATGCATGCTAGGCAAGAGCTCAACCACTGAGCCACAACCCCATCCCCTCGTCTTGGATGGTTTTGCCATTCATATTTCTCTTAGTTTTGATTCAAACACAGACTACAGCCATATGGGTTTTTTTTTCCTGTGCTTTTATTAAACTGAGTATTGAACAAAACTAGAGGGGATGCCTTGAACCTTTTCTGTTGTATCAATATCCTGGAGATTCCAATCTCTTTTAAAGGTTGGACTTTTAAGTGTGTAACTTGCTGCCAGCATAATCCTATAAAGTATTTGTTATGATTATCTCATCCTAGGAATAACAGATACAGTGGTTTTGCAGTTGCTGTAATGGAGATCTGGGAACAGGTATACTGGATCTATGTAAAAATACTGGTGAAACCTTGAGTTCAATATTGAAATGTTGCTTCATTTCCATAGCCTCACTTATCACACTGTATTTTCTCCCCTTTGTAGGTGTGTTTTAAAAATGGACCATCACTGCCCTTGGTATGTCCCTTTGATTCATTTCTCTCCTCTAAAAGGGTCAAAGTTGTTCAATGTGCTCACTTTCCTAAGCATAGTTGTAACATGCCTTTTTCTGTCACCATAATTCACTGGGCTTTGTATTTGTGTGGGGGACAGGGGAGGGGTAAAATTTTAGAGCAAGAATAACCATACCACCAAAGGTATAGTAGAGAGTTCCTGGGGTCACAAAGCTAATGGTCTCCTGCCCATTAACTTTAGCAATTGAGCATAGTAATGAAATATAGCACAATATTTTTCCTCTTGTAAGATAACACAATTTATTTTTGTTTCTAGCTTGCTTGATGTTTGAAATAGTGTAGATTGTTAAATTCAGCAATTCGTTAAATTTTGTACATCAGATCTAGAGAACCAGTGAAATCACCTGATTACAAAAAAGAACAAGCCACAACTCTACCAAATGTAGCTGCTAAGACTTTAATAGTTTTTTAGCAACCAAGATCCAGGTTTGCTCGGGTGTGTCAGGAACTAGTCCAGAACTATTAGATGTTTCTGTGCCTGTAAATGAAAGGAGAAACAAGTGAGATGTGAACTTGTTTTTCCAGTCTGTTCCTATTAAGGGACTTTTATCTCTGTTGGGTTTTACATGACACATAATGAGACAGTAGGAGTAACATGCTTCCATTGCTTAGTCCATTTATATGTCAGTGTGTTTTCAATCAATAGGTCCTGATTTCAAATTAGTTTTTCTCTTTTTTTAGGGTTAATAACTGCATTGGATTTTCCAACTACAAATTCTTTCTTCAGTTCTTAGCTTATTCTGTTCTCTACTGCCTGTACATTGCTACAACCGTCTTCAGCTATTTCATCAAGTATTGGAGAGTAAGTTACAAATTCTGAAGGGTCCCCCACAGACAAACATACACTTCAGTCTGTGACATTATTTGTCCTATAACATTTTACATTTTGAAATAGCTAATACTGAAGAAACCAAAGAGGGAAGCCACTAAAAACAAAGTTTTCATGTTATATACTCTGAGACCAGCGGTTGCTGTTTAAAGATTCTAGTTAAACAAGTTTCTGTTTACATATGACAATCTTGCTAAGGCCCTCAGTTACCTAACTTCTTGAGTCCTACCAATTCTTTAAAATGTACTTCTGCAATTGAGTTTTTTTTTTTTGAGAGGGGGAGAGAGAGAGAGAGAATTTTTAATATTTGTTTATTTTTTTAGTTTTTTAGTTTTCAGTGGACACAACATCTTTATTTTATTTTTATATGGTGCTGAGGATCGAACCCAGTGCCCTGCACATGCCAGGCAAGCGCGTTACCACTTGAGCCACATCCTCAGCCCCAATTGAGTTTTTAAAACCTCCTTCCTACAAGTTATATTTTTGAAAAATGTTGGAACTAATTCAAATCTCTGGTTTCTAAAAAAAAATTAAAGACTAACAAAGCACTCCCCTTTGAACATGAAATTAGGTCAAAGGAGACTTGCAAAATTCCTACCATATAGAGAGATACACTGACATAACCTTCTCATGTGACCAAATGAACAGGAAAGTCTTTCTTTAACTTATGATAAACCCTGGGTTGGAAATTAGGAGAACTGAGATGTAATACTGTTTTCATTACTTGCCTTACTGGCTCATCGCCAAGATCAAATGAAACAGATGTTGAAAGTGTTTTGCCTTTCAAAATATAATTCTAATAATTACAATGAAATCTCAAAAACCTTTCTTTTATCTTTCTCCTAGTTGAAGATATCAGTCATAGGTACAGACCCTGTACATATGTTTATAGGGTCTGGCAGAAGTACAGTGAAATACGTTATTTTTAAATTTCATGCCAGTGGACTCCAGAAGAACCCTCCTCCATACAACTCCAGTATAGTTACTAAGATATCTATGATGAGGGTTGTCCAAACTTATCCTGAATAGCAAAAGACAATGGGGCAGAGCAAATATTTATTACTTTAGGAACTGCATAAGCACATTAGCTAGAGAGGTAAAGCTGTGGGAAAGAACATGAATTCTATGGTCAGAATATAAATTATAATAAACTGGAGCAAACAAGAAAAAGACAAGGCAGTGAGAAGGTAAATTGCTGAGAATATTTAAATTATAAATTAGTGTTTTGATTCCTAGTAGTCTAGAAAATATAGTGTACAAAATTATAGTGATATATGCTTTCCATTCCCCTTCAACTTGCTTAATTGATTTAAATATTTAATAACATTAAGAATAGGGAATTATATGATAGATATCAAAATCTGCAATTCAAAGACTCAAAGAAACTATTAGCATAAATAACGAAGTTTTTTCTCATACATTTTCCCCAAATAGGAAATGTTTCACCATGCTATACATCTTAACATCTCTTTCACCCCTTTGCACAGCAGAAGATTTATTTTCTATTGCTCAGGTTTCCATGACCTATTTGGCATTCTATCCACACACTGAGCTACTACTCTAAATGTGAAGAAAATCTGCTGCATCCAATCAACAGGGAAAGTGTCAGCCTTGATCTTCACTACAGACCTTTCTTGGTACTTAACACAGTAGGCGACTGTTTAAAAACCACCCTTTACCCTCATAACAAAGTAAACAAGATTGCATTTCACATATTTTGCCTTTAGCCCTCCTAGCCAGCCAATAATCAAATACCACAAAGCCAGCTAGGTGCTGCATGCTTTTTTTGTACTCTTGCAAGATGATAGTTGGATATGAATTAATCACCAGAAACATGGCCGCATTCACAAGCAATACCAGGGCTGAACATACCCTTGTCCTTTTCCTATTCCCTCATTTTTTCTCCATGATATCCTAGCTTGTGCCTGACATATGTGAGGCAAGGAAACCTGTCTCTGCTTGCCCTCATAATGAAAAGGGCATTGACAGTTCAAGAAAATGATTCCTTGCAATCTTTCCAGCCAAAAAGCACCTTAGTGTGGTTTGAGGATGGTTTTCTCAGTTTAAATCAAATCTCTCTTTAAAATAAAAAGTAAACACTGCCATGTATTTTAAAAGCCATTTATCAAGGAGACAAGCTGTGTTTCTAAGAACAGCAACTTCTATTTATATGATACGTTGTGGTTTTTGAAGCACTTCCCTTATTTCATCTGATCCTCAGCACAATCCTGAGAAGTAGGCAAAGCAGGAATTATTAGTTTCATTCAAAGGTGATAAGAATGAGGATCATAGTAGTTAAGTGACATGCCAAAGATCACCTAGCTTGTAAATTTCAAAGTGAGAATTGAACCTAAGTCTGATCCTAAGCCCAATGATCTTAATGTCCTATTGCCCATTATGGTTCTGGTATGGAAAAGCTTTAGCTCCTTTGGAATAAAGGATTCAAAGACCGTCAGAATTTCTCTCTCCTCTCAATATTAACTTAAACAACAGCTACTTTGATAGGAGATTGATCCTTGCCTTATGCAAAAGTAGTAAAACATATCTCCCACACTGGGCCATGAATCTCCTCACAGAGGCTATAAATTATTTTAGAAACATGATAGTAGCATCATTCTACCAATATTCCTCTGAATTGCCTCTAGTGATCATTGCTTTAAGCAATTTAGTTTGGTTGTCTTCTGAGAAGGTATTTTTGAGCATAGGGCTGTAACCTTCTTCAAACTAAAAAAAATTAAAAGCTTAATATTAAGAACTCTATCAAGGGATAACGCAGTAGATTCACAACACAGTAGATCACAAGCTTGAGGTAAGCCTCAACAACTTAATGAGACCCTGTCTCAAAATAAAAATAAAATAAACAGTAAAAGCCTGTCTCAAAATAAAAAGGACTAGTGGTAAAAGCAGCCCTGGGTTCAATCCTCAGTACCAGAAAACACAAACACACACACACACACACACACACACACACACACACACATACACTTTTAACTATTACTGGAAAGTATTTTGAAATATTTCAAATTGTTTCATCTTGCCAGAATAATGACCAGCATGGGAAAGGAGGAAATAAGCAATAGTATTCCTCCAACTGCTCACTCCAAATTAAAAATGTTTTATAAAGTTCTCTTCAGAAGATAAAATGTTATATGATATGCATGCTACAGAACTTTAGAACATTCATTCTGGTCTAGAATTACATGTTTAAAGAAAAATTGGTGCCACATGGAAAATAAGATGTCCCAGATAACTATAAAAATCTTTAGCCACCTACTTTTACATTGCCAGTAAAATCCTTCTTGATTTGTACTGTCTAAACAGCTGTTCCACAGGATCTAATATACCAACACATTCCACTTCAGCTATAAAAAAACAACCATATAAAATGTGCAGCAGCTTTAAAATCAGGTCATGACTTATAGGTAGGACATTTTAAAATTCTATGTATGTGTTTTAACTTCCTACATTCATCACTATGACATTTTCAATAGCCATATGTCCAAGGAAACATGACATATAAAGAATTCTAGAATAGCGCACCTTGAGATAAAAGGATGGACCCTATGACATCAAAATCACCTCTAACCAACAATTCATATTTCTCAAACTAAATGAAATATGACCTTTATGCCAATTATGCTCCAAATATTCCCTTTTCACATTAACCTTTTCTAACTGGTACATTATATACTCTATTTTACACTGAAGTGCACTTAAGCAATGATCTATTCTAGGCTTTGTAGACTAAGAGCATATCTTTAATGAGGTATAATCATCAACAGAGAACAATTTTGTAAAAATTTTTTACAGAATCTATTTTTTTAAATTGTACCTAGATATTTTATACATGCAGAAAACTATAATCTTTGTAGAACAGGTAGCCAAGCTTTCCCATTTTAATCTTTTTTTGTTTATTATTTCTTTTCTAGGGGGAATTGCCCAGTGTTCGCTCTAAGTTCCATGTCCTTTTTCTCCTCTTTGTGGCCTGCATGTTTTTTGTCAGCCTTGTGATTCTTTTTGGTTACCATTGTTGGCTTGTCAGCAGAAACAAAACTACCTTAGGTAAGACTGAATATTAAGACTAGGAAAAAACATTGGGCTGGGAATGTAGATCAGTGGTAGACCACTTGCCTAGAATGTGTGAGGCCCTGGGTTCAATCCCTAGTACTGCCAAAAAAAAAATACCCCCCCAAACATTTTAGAGTTTATCAGATTGATCTGTGTTTTTTTTCCCCGAGAAAAAGAAAAACTTCCAATGAAACATTTTAGCTATAGTGACATCTCTTTGACTCCAATCTGAGACGGATGAAAATACATTTTACCAAACTGGAGAACCATAGTGAATGAAGCTTATAGACTAAAGAGAGCATTAGTAGATAAAACCCTACACAAAACCAAAAATGGCTATTGCTCTTTAGAGTGTGTATTGGGTAATAGCTCCCCAGATTTACAACTCGGAAGACTTAAAAAATGTGTTCACATGAGGAAATGAAGGAAAGAATCAGTACAGAAGAAAATGTTAAAAGGAGGAAATGAATGTCAGTAAAGATAGAAGTATCTAACTTATTGAGTACATCCCAACACAGAGCCTTCAGAGTGAATTCAAAGTCTTGAAAAAGAATCAAATAACTGAATATCTGTAGTTATTAAGGAACTGTGTAGGTAGCATGGGAACAGGGAGCATGGGAACAAGAAACATGTTGAACAAGTTAGTCTCTAGAAAATAAGTGTAAGGTGCTGGGTGTGGTGGCACACGCCTATAATCCCAGCGGCTCCTGAGGCTGAGGCAGGAAGATTGCGAGTTCAAAGCCAGCCTCAGCCAAAGCAAGGCACTAAGCAACTCAGGGATACACTGTCTCTAAATAAAATACAAAATGGGGCTGGGGATTTGGCTCAGTCGTTGAGTGTCCCTGAATTCAATCCCCAGTATCCTCCCAAAAAAGAGAAGAAGTGTAAGAAATAAACCTTGCTTGTTAATGAGTATTTTATTTCTGATGGATTCCAGTGTAACTTTTTTGTTGTTGTTATTTTAGTAATGGTAAAAACTGTTTAAAATTTCTACAAATCAGTACACAAGAAGTAAGGAGAAAGTGATTAAGAGTTGAATGTTTAATTAGAATAAACTTGAGGAAAGTTTGGTGCAAAAGCTATTGCAATTTGGGAATACATTTGCTAATAATACTAACAGCCAAGAAAGTATTTGCTTCATTTTCTAAATCAAATATATATGTAGCACTTAGTTGCTAGGGTGGTAAATTAGCACATTTGGCTTAGAGATCAGCTACAGAGTAGAAAAGTACTAAAAGCTTCATGATAACAGGGTCTGAAAATAAAGCACAAATGGGAAGTGGTCAGATGCAGCCAGAGTCCTACAGTGAAAGTGTTTGCTTAATGGGATAAATGTGTGTCTAAAAATAATGTGCACTAACGTGGTCCAATTCCTCATAGTCTTTGAGGTGATTATAGTTCACCCATTGACATTTTACTGAAGTAAAACTCAGTTTCTTACATTGCAGGCTTCAGTGTGAACATCTTCATTTCTGAAATGTTTCAAAACCAAATCAATGTCATTATCATCTCTTTATGTGTCATTACTTTGGTCCCAGCTCTACAGATGGAAACCATTTGGCTGTTGTTGCCACTTAGATTCAAATAAAGTGTTGTTAAATCTGTTCCTTCACTCCTGAAATCCAGCAGTACAAATACATGCTACTCCCATGGCTGCTTAATTATTTCTACCATAATGTGTTTCCACTGCCTTTTTCAAAATATGAGTACTATTTCTTCATATGAAATTACAGACTTACCTGGTATTAAGTGATTAAACTGATTTTTACAAAGTAATTTGACAGTAACTAAAAATGAGGGACCTATACTAACACAGCAAAAAGATATCATAGAAGCAAGTTACATTCATGGGGAACTGTAAAATCATGACTGCTGAAATTTGTTCCTTTATTTCTTTCTTCCTCTCCCCCCCCACCCCCGCAACTTTCCTACTCTATTCTAGAGGCCTTCTGCACTCCAGTGTTTACAAGTGGCCCAGAGAAAAATGGGTTCAATCTTGGCTTCATCAAGAATATCCAACAGGTGTTTGGAGATAATAAGAAGTTCTGGTTAATACCTATTGGGTCCAGGTGGGTAATTATTACCACTGAAAGAGGTTGATGATTTGAAGTACCAAATTCAATTTTGATTATAGTATACAGCAGGTCTCTGTCTAACATGACACTCTGTTTCCCAAGTTTTTAATTTCTAGGTTAGCAAAGATAAATCATGAGGCAAGCATATAATAAAATAGACATCTTCCTGTCTTGTTTGTGGCAAGGTAAACTAGTACTAATCTTTTATAAATGAATTTTGTTATATGTATCAAAACTATAAAAATGTACATATTTATTGTCCCAGTGATTACATTTCGGGCATCTAACCTAAAGACAGAGATGAACTATGTACAAAAATATCTCTCGTAGAATTATTTACAGCTAATAAATCAAAAACAACACAAATATCTTAGAATATAGGAATATATATGTATATGTATATATATATTCCTATATTATAGAAAAATATATATATACCCACTAGATAGATTATTATGTAGTCAAAAGTAGTGGTTATAAGATGATGTCACACTAAGAGGACATGCATAGTATATTATCTGTGAAAAGGTAAAATCCAAAATGGTATGTATGCTGATTGAAAATATGAACAAGGGGCTGGGGTTGTGGCTCAGCAGTAGAGCGCTTGCCTCACACATGCAAGACCCTGGTTTCGATCCTCAGCACCACTTAAAAATAAATAAGTGAAATAAAGGTATTGTTTCCAACTACAACTAAAAATAAATATTTTAAAAAATTTTAAAAAGAAAATATGAACAAACATGTAGAGAGGAGAAAAGCAAAAGAGAGGAAATATGACAAAAATACTAAAAGTGGTAAGGGAAATAGTCTCAGTAAATAGTTTACATTTCTTTGTTTTTCATATTTTGGATGAAATATTAACGTTATTTTGTGAAGGAAAAATGAGAAGAAAGAAAGATTGATTTATAGAATGTGTGTAATTCTTAAAACCACAACAAGAATGCAGAAAAGGAAATTAATGAGCAATCAGTACAGCCAAAGCTTGTGTCCTCTGAGTAACTTTGTGAACCAGATTAACCATTAACAAAACTACCTCTGCAACAGAGTTTGTTTACTGGCTTTTTGCATCCCTTTTAGATATACTCCTCAGACAAGGATACATTTATGTTCACTTATTTGAAGAAACTTTGCTGGGGTTAGATGGTAACTAAGGCAAATTTTCCCCTTCCCTTCACTCATTGCCCTGATACTTCCTCCGCACCAGTTAGTGTTTTATAGACGCATTTGTTTAAAATGTGATATATTTTACTCTCCTGACTATAAATCACAAGGCAAAACTATGTCACTGGGTAATGTTGGTTAATAACTGTTACCAGCAATTATCTATACCCTGTTTACACACATGCAGACACAAATGCACACCATTACCACATCAAAGGGAGGTCTAAAATGAGCCTTCTCTGATATAAAAACAAAAGCCTCATTTACTTATAATCAGTAACATATTATCTGTACAGTAGCATCAATAAAATCTGTCAACTTTTGATTAATCACATTCATGAACAGGAGAAAAGGCATAGCTCATATCAAATGAATAATCCAAATCACTCAGATTTAAATTTGGAATGTATTCAGATATAGAGACACAGGTGTTAGACCAGGTTACACTTTGAACACTTGAGTCTCTATCAGTGAATACATTCCAAATTTAAATCTGACAAACTGTAACCTGGTCTATCCAGGACCACCACAATTCCTTCCAATATATCTGATCTGTTAATGGTCAGAAATTAACCAGAAAAGTGACCCTAGCTTACCATAAACATCCACAAAGTATACCCACAGGTGGATAATTGTGCCCAAAATATGCACTCTAGAGATACCTCATTTTGGCTTTTTCTCATAGTTCCTAATAACCTTTCTTCTATGCAAGCCAAATAATGATAAGGTACTTGGGGAATTACCTATCACCAGTTCACAGCAGCTTATCTCCACTCTATTCACTCATTCTCAGTCTACTCATCTTCCATGAATGTTTAGAATCAAACAATAAGATAGTGGAATTTAAGTTGGCATCATCATCATTAAATAATTATGAAACTTGCATATTGCTGTACTGGGCATTGTGGACAACAAGTTTTCTTACGAACAAAAATAGTCACTGATGTGGACATGCAAACACAATATGGAAATTTAAAGCATTATAATGATGCTATTATAAGAGCCTATTTCAGGTTTTAGAAAACAAGTGTGACTATATATATGTATATGTATACATATATATATTCCTATATTATAGAAAATATATATATCCTATTTCTAAGGATTATGACCTTTACAAAAAGTATGTGTCTACTGTAAAATCTCACTGCCTTTCTTTCCCTCAGCCCTGGTGATGGACACTCCTTCCCTATGAGGTCAATGAATGAGTCACAGAACCCACTACTAGCAAATGAAGAACGATGGGAAGACAATGAGGATGATAATCGAGGTGGGTTGTCTCAGAAGGAAGTCTTTTCTCTGCTGAGCAGGCTGAGCACTATAGATCCATGTTAATACAGCCAGTATAATGTGTCGTGAGTAAATCATATTCAGAAAGATTTTATAAGCATGTCAGCCTCTTAAGTGCCCTCTGGATGGAAGATGGTAAGTATGGCCAGATTTGTTTAGTGGAATTGGGTAGCTTAGATAGGATAAGATGGCAGTTTAGGAGGTTCCTTACCAGCTTTGCAATATCATGATTTATAACTTTTCAGATAAATCAGGAAACCTAATAAAGTGCTATGCATGTATTCACATTACCAGCCCTATTTCTCTGCCTGTTGGTAGGCCTACTTCTGTGACAATGTAACATTTGCTTACATTGCCAATACCAGCCATCCAGAGAGTAATTTTTAGCTATTGTTTCAAATAAAACAGTAGCTGGTACTGTTTTTGAATAGAGACTTATAATAGTTACCACAAACAGTACTTGGGATGAATGAGATTGTATGAAGACATGGAAAAGCAATGAGTTAGGGAGCAGAGGTAGAAACTAAAGCTTTCTCAATGTTCACCCAGTTAGATTTTCTTGGACCAGCTTCTCTACTTCAAAGTCCAGTTTTAGAAAAAAGTACATTTATAGAACAAAGGAAGACAAAACAGCCCCAGATCCATACATACAAAAGAAAACAGTTAATCACCCAACCCAAAGAATTTACAGTAGAAGAAACTCCCTCATGTACCTCCTGATGACTACTGGAAAATTAACTATATTTTGACCTACCAGAGTTCAGCCTTCAGTCTTTCTGAATAGACTTGCTTACTGCAGTCCACAAGTAATACAAACTCTTATTTTGACATTCAAAAACCCAAATTCTAACAGAAATCTGAAGGAGTCTGGACCTGGTTTGATATAACTCCACAATGGGAAAAAAAACATCTATGAATTGTATTGGTAAGCAGAAAAAATTTAAGTATAGATGTAGCACCACATCATAAACAAGCTACTTTTTGAAGCAGTTTTCAATTTAAGACTTTTTTAAAAATATTCAATCATTTAAAAATTGTGTATCATTTTATATTTGATAAAGTACTATTTACCTGCTTTTTCCAACCTTTGACCTTTGCAACCATTGTATTAGGTAGACATTATTACAAATACCATCCTCATCTTATAACTGAAGAAATTTAGATTATGATGTGTTAAATAACTTCTTCAAGATCACAGAGCAAAAAGGTGATAGAACCTGGACTAAAATTCATCCTGATTCCAAATCCTGGGATTTTTCCCCCAGTATAATGTTATGTCTCTCATGTGAACAAATACATATGAACCACAGTGATGTGATTTGGTGCCATCTTGCTCTCTGAAGAATTCAACTGAATCTTACATAACTCATAAAATCATAAGACTATTAAGTCTTCTTTAGTGAGACTATGCCATATCACATAGATAAGTTTTTAAACTTCATTGAACTCATTTTAGCATCGAACAACTTTGTTAGAAAAGGATGCTTTTCTCTAACACAAGTTCTCAGGCTGTGCTATTTGTCCAGTTGATTCTATGTTTCTCTCGGTTTCTCCATTTTCTATGCATAACTGATCATCCACAAATAGTCCTTGTACTTTTAACAACGTATATTCCTGGGAAAGGTGTTATAAGTAAATTTATGTGAGTTGAACTTAATTTCCTTTAGAAATGATGTCAGGGTTTTATTCCAGCCCAAAATATTCTGTTTAGTTTACTATAAATCATGTACTTTTTCATTGCATAATGAAAACAACTAAAATGCTAAAATATACTAATAGTAGCCTGTTAAGTAAAAATATAATATCATAGTTAAGAACTATATGAAGTTATCTTCTTTGAATTCCCTGCCTTATTTTAATACAGAAAAGTACTAGGTAAAGAAACAACTTTAAGGCTGGGGTTGTGGCTCAGTGGTAAAGTGCTTGCCTAGCATGCATGAGGTACTGGGTTCGATTCTCAGCATCACATACAAATAAATAAAGTAAAGTAAATGTATGTAAATCAAGTACACAGATCCATGTAGTCTCCTGAGAATATTTAACAGGCATCTTTAAAAAACTTTGTAGAGACTTGAGGTTACATTTTATCTTTTTAAGGAAGTAATCTGTTGAATTACTACTTGTGGTCATTCCTGTAGCTTACATTTAAAAATTAGAGATTACAATATAAATCTTTCTACAAATTTGTTCAAAATTGGGATCCATTTCTTCTAAACTGGATAGGTAGCATCTGTGGTAACTATCCTTAAGTGTCATGAATAATAAAATGGATATGACTGTCAGGGATATTTTTGAATGGAAACTGCTGTGAGTCAAAGCCTACTTGTATGTGAAATGTTAAAGAAGCCTTTGGCCTTCTCAGAAGCAAAGTCTTTGGGGGACATTTAAGATCCAGACTGTAGCACAAAGGAATAACTCTTATAATTTTCTTCTTTATTTATTTTTGTTGCAAAAATTTAAGGTGTACAACATGATGTTTTGAGATATATATGCATAGGTAATCACTATGGGTAAGCAGTTTAATCATCTCTTAGTTAACTTATTTTTTTGTGATAAGAACACCTAAAATATACTTTCTTAGAAAATTTTCTAGTATACAGTATCATGCTATTAGCTATAGTTCATATACTATACTTTGGATCTTTAGATTTATTCATCTATATAACTTCTACTTTGTATACTTTGACTTACATCTCACCATGCCTACCTATGCTGCCTCTAGTAATCACCCTTCTGTTCTGTTTCTATATATTTGACTTTTTTTGTTATTTTGTTTCCTCATATATGAGAGATCCTGAAGGATTTTTCTTTCTGTGTCTGGCTTATTCCAATTAACATTAGGTCTTCCAATTTCATCCATTTCTTTTTTGCAAATGATAGTATTTTCTCTTTTTCAAAGCTGAATAATAATCCTGTGTATGTGTGAATTTTACAATTTTTTAATCCATTTATGCATCCATAGACACTTGTCATTTCCATATCTTTAATATGCCATAGTGAACAAGAAAAATGCAACAATGAACATGGAATGTACATATACCCAGAAGAGGAATTGCTGGGTCATATGGAAGTTCTATTTTAAATTTCTTGAGGAACCTCCATTTTCCTCTGTTTACCCTAGTGGCTATACCAATTTACACTCCTACCAACAGAATACAAGGGTTCCCTTTTCTGTATATTCTCACCAACTTGTTATCTTTTGACTTTTTTTGTGTTGTGCTAGAGATTGAACCTAGGGCTTTGTGCATGGTAGGAAAACACCCTTTCCCTAAACTACATCCACAGCCTTATCTTTTGACTTTATGAAAATAGCCATCCTTGCATCCTAGTTAATATCGCAGGGTGGTTTTGAATTGCAATTTCCTGATGATTAGGGATTGGAGTACCTTTTCACGTACCTGTTGACCATTTTTATGTTTTCTTAGGGAAAATGTCTATTTCAGTCCATTGCACATTTTTAAATCCAGTTATTCATTTGTTTGTTTGTTGTTGTTGTTTATTTTGTTTTGTTTGAGAGGGATTTTTTTTTTGGATTTTGTTTGTTTGCTATTGAGTTCTGTGAGTTGAGCATAATCTGGTTATTAATGAAATATGTATGGTTCATAAATATTTCCTCCCATTCCATAGGTTGCCTTTTCAACTTGTTGATTATTTTTTGCTGTATAGAAGTTCTTTAGTTTGATTTAGTCCCACTGTTAAGCTTTGCTTTTATTTCTTGTGCTTTTAGTTTCATATCCAAAAAATCATTTCCAAGACCAGTGTGAAGAAGTCTTTCCTCTATGTTTTCTTCTAGGACTTTTATAGTTTGGGTCCTTAGGTTTAAGTATTTTATTTCTTTTGAATTGAATTTTTGTGAATTATATAAGATAGGGATCCAATTTCATTCATTTGCATGTGGATATACAGGATTCCCTACTACACCATTTATTGAAGGGACTACCCTTTTCACATTTTATTGTTATTGTCACCTTTATCAATGACTACTTAACAGAATATGCTTGTTTGTTTCTGCACTCTGTATTCTATTCAATTGTTCTATATGTCTGCTTTTATACCATATCCAAAATTCTTTTTAATTGATTTTATTTTTTTAAATACATGACAGCAGAATGCATTACACATATAGAGCACAATTTTTTATATCTTTGTATATAAAGAATGTTCACATCAATTCATGTCTTCGTACATGTACTTTGGTTTTTTTGTATTACAATTCTTATTAGACATATATACCACAATTTTTCATACCTCTGTATATAAAGTATGTTGACATAGATTTCTAATATAATTTCAAATCAGATCATGTGATGGCTCTAACTTTGTTCTCCTCCAAACCCCTCCCAGGGCTACTTTGACTGTGGTTCCTTACAAATTTTATGATTTTTTTTCTATTTGTGAAAAATGCCCTGGGTATTTGGATATGGGTTGCATTGAGTGTGTGGATTGGTTTGGGTAATATGGATGTTTTGACAATATTGATTCTTCTAGTCCATGAAGATATCTTTCCATTTATTTGTGCCTTCTTCAGTTTCTTACATCATTGTTTTAATGTTTTTAACATATGTATCTTTCACTTCCTTGGTTAAATTTATTCCCTTTTCCTGCTAAATGATACCACCTTAGGGTATGGGGTAATACAGGCAAAGTGAAACTATCCTTTCCACCCTTTTTGTGTGATCATTATTGAGTTGTTTCTTCCACTGTAGATACAGCTTTTTTATTGGTTCTTTTTGGTTATACATGACAGTAAATTCCATTTTGACATAATTATACAAGCATGGAATATATCTTGTTCTAATTCAGACCCTTTTTAAATGGACTCCTGAGCTGTTCCAGAGTTATTTTCATTTATGTATAGCTGCCAAAATGTTGCTCTTTGTGCAAGAAAGGGAGGCTAGCATCTCCAACTCTACCATCTTGCTAATGTCATCTGGAAGTAACTCTTTTTCCCAACATCCTTGATAGAATAATATTAGGTGT